TTGTCTTTGTACATAGTCTTTTACATTTTCCTTATTATAACATATTCCCTTTCCTTATTCTTCATTTAGTTTTAACCTAAATATCTACTTTCCACTCCCCTTCGTTTTGTGTCTTAACCCTTGTGTCGTTAAAACTAACAAATTGTTTTGTCCTTTTCCAGCACTACAAACATCACTGATTACCGGTCATTAGTTACCTACATTACTTTCGTTTTTTTTTTACACCGATCACAGTGTCTTTTCCTACCTCGAAGTTGGCAAAATCTTCGAATGACGAAGGAGCCATAAACAAAAAGAAGAAGAAGAAGAAGAAGAAGAAGTTAGTTCAATAATTAATAATTTTTGTTGTAATGATAATAATTCATAATTGTTTCAGCATTTTGATGGCTGGTATACTACCATTTGGAGCAGTATTCATTGAACTATTCTTTATTTTCAACGCACTATGGGAGAACCAGTTTTATTACCTGTTTGGGTTTTTATTCCTCGTATTTTGTATACTTGTGGTGTCTGTATCACAAATATCAATTGTTATGGTTTATTTTCAACTGTGTGGAGAGGTAATCACGATCAACATTACTTACTTAACTAATTTTTAAATTACTATACCTTTTTTACATAAGTCTTCCCTTATTTGTCTTCAGGATTACCATTGGTGGTGGAAGAGTTTCGTCGTTTCTGGAGGATCTGCTGTTTACATTTTAATATACTCGATATTTTACTTTTTCACAAAATTGGAAATAACAGAGTTTATACCAACATTGCTTTATATTGGCTACACAGGTAATAAATAAACTTATACCCTAACTAGTCTAAAGCTGGTTTGAAGTCAGAAGCTAACTATATTTTACTAGCTTTTGCCCGCGAGTTTGTTCGCGTGGAATAGTGACTTCCTGCAGATTTTTGGTTTAAAAACTATCGTATGTCTTTTCTTGAGTTCCAAACTATGTCTGTACCAAATTTCACACAAATCTGTTCAGTAGTTTAGCCGTGAAGAAAAGACAGACAGACAGACAGAGTTACTTTCGCATTTATAATATTAGATTGGATCTAAGTACTACAAAAAGAAAAAAAAACTGATGTTCTATTAAATTGCAATTTAAATATGTAAGCTTATCTGTCAGCAAACATATAAGTCGTTTATTTTTTTTGATGTGCCTTTTCTCTTTGTCTATAAAATTATGTTTTCTTTTCAGGTCTAATGGTGTTAACATTTTGGCTTCTCACTGGCACCATCGGATTCTTCGCAGCATACACTTTTATAAGAAAAATTTATGCTGCAGTAAAAATTGACTAATTTATTTTTACACTAATTATTTTAATTTTTATGAGTGATGAATGATGTGAACAAAAATCTTTTGCTGGTTTATATTGAGCATATGATTTGTGTAAATAGGAATGTAGTTAAAATTGCATTTTAAAAGTAACGTTATATCTGATTAGCATAAGATTCATTTTGTATTATTTTAAATTTAAGATGCATATTTATAAAGCGTAGAAGTTAAACACTGCCTGCTTTGTTCATGCGCATTAGTTAGTTAATTCCATTTATATCATAGATATATGTCCCATATAATTGTGTCTGATTGTTGCATTTTCATGAAGTCGTATAGTTTAATTTAACTTTCATTATATTTTGAAACACGCATAATGGCTATTAAATCTCCTTATTAAACTGTTAAAGTAACTCATTTACCAAATATGAAAGTTTATAAAAATGTGTTTTTGTTCATAAATTACAATTATATTATTCCTTCATAAATAAAAATCGCGGCTCTCTGTATTAGGTACTCTATAGCTAGTTTAAATGGCAAAAACCGAACTGTCGAACAGTCATATAGCATACTAGCTACTCTCGCGCGGTTTCCCACGCTGCTCGGCTCCATTTGATCGTAGCGTGATGTTTTATAGCCTATAGCACTCAGGATCATTGTAGCTATCTATCAGTGAAAGAATTTTGGCAATCCGACCAGCGGTTCCGAAGATTACCCCTACATACAAATTTTACCTCATTAAGTAATATTAGTATTATATAGGTAAGGTAAGTAATATAAGTGAAGTACATTTAAGAATACGCCTAAAATGTACTTATTAAAAAAAAGAATGCCAGACCTAATGTGGATACGGAGACGTACATACACACATATCACTGAGTTGATATATATGTATACCTACAATTACCATTTCACTTTTTACAGTCCAAAATATTACAAATCTTATCTTGGATGTTTAGGGAACAAAGAAAAGATGATCGTAGCAGAAGCCAGAGAATGAATAAAATAAAGAAATGTAGCCCAACAGTTCTAAGTAATATTGGAATTATGGCTTATAATGGAGTGGCTGAAAATAGACACCGGTGTCCATTTGGTCTTGTGAGATGAAAACGAGACGAGATATCGAGTCATACATAATTATACACATTGCTCAGAAACTCATTTTAATGTTGATGTGTTTATGAGCAGGCGATGTACTGCAGTAATGAACGACGAACCGCGACGTATTCATAAACGCAGCCTCTAACTCTTATTGCTGTCCGAAAAGAGATAACAGAATTAAAAGGTGATCCGTACAAATAAAGGCTCGACTCGAGCAGACCAGATGCATAATATACGTAGACGAACCACCACGGTTAACCATCACGGAAGCGCTGTCGACGCGCATGTGTACCTACGTAGGCGATCTATCTATAAACTAATATTAAGAGGTATAATTTGAAAGTTTGTATGTATTTCCAAACATCTTTCACTGATAGATAGGTACAGTGTTCCTGAGTGCTATGCTAGAAATTAAATTATACTTGATACCTATGCGTATTTTATTCGAGCTATCGGTTTACACTGCTGTCTGTAATATGCCGAAATACATAACCTACTTTTATAGTCCTGCGAAGTCGTGTCAGTAGCTAGTTAATAGCATAGGACAAGGGCACGGATGTAGGTTAACACATAAAAAAATACATAGGCAGGCTGGCAGACAATTGTAACATCCACTTTTTAGTTAGATATCTACTGGTCAATGTAATTTTCGATTTGCCTATTATCATAAGTAGATATAGCGAATATAACATCACATCAGACTACGTTCTATAGGTACTTATTACTGGATATACTGGTACAAAGAATTTGCAAAATCAAAAGACATGTACAAGACACGGACATGGACGAGGTATCTACTATTGTACTAGGTACCTACTTCTTTTGAGGTGTAAGGAAGATATTTTTAAATGGTATAAAATTCCCTCACGCGTCCCGCCTCCTTTGCGAGAATCACTGCTTCGCAGAAAGAGGAAATGGCTTCCCAGTTCCCCTCACTCTTCATCATGGTCTCGACTAGGGCCGGCTGCGACAGGTCGCCACCACCCATCACTTCCCTGACGACATGAATGTGCTCAGCCCAAGGAGCCCAAGCAGGGCACACTGCCACCGTATGCTCCACCGTGTGTCCGGTAAGCACCGACGTCATGAAGAAGATAGGAACGAGGGAGCCATAGCATCTCTTGCTATAACAGCGTGCCCGATGTCTGGAGGGTTACTGCCCGACAGTTGTAAGTTGGGAGATCTCTATACATGTTAATCTGCGCGCAAACTTGCGTTATCTAACATTTGTGACGTCATTTTATCGTTGATGATCTATCCTCGTCTATACACATACTTCAGCTAGGTACCACTAATATCACCTACCTATGTAACGTCACTGTTTGCCCATATAAGTAGGTACCAATTCAATTAAGGTGCGGTAGGTAGTGCTGGTGCCGACATTTCCTAAGTGAAGGCGGGAGATGTTCCAGTTCGGGAGTCTTCATCGAATATGAAATGTGTAAAGCACCACAGATCTAAATATTTCTCAATCTTTAAAAAAATTCAATATGTGTTTTCCAATCGCTCAAGATCCATTATTTTCTAGAGGGTAGTCCAGATCACAGATATATACTATATCTATGGTCTAGATGGTGTTGTTGTCAGTGCAGAGCTAATAGTAGGGGAGCCCATGAAGGAATTTCGGTAGTTACTCGAGCTCGTCAGATTAACATATGGGGGAATATTTAGTAACCTATTGAATATACCACATACATAATGTAGATAGAGGAGGGGGGGGATTACAATATAAAAAGATAACTAAATACAGTCATTTTCGTCGGATTAGGGGGGAAAAGGTAGATGTCATGTCAAAGAACGGGCGTTTAAAAAATCTGCCGATTTCATCGTGGTTTACAACAGCAATAGAGTTTTGAGCGGGTCCCGTTTCTATCCCCTTAGTTAGCCAACCCCACCAGGCGATTCGGCAGATTAAAATATTTTCATTATCAGAGATACATGGAGAATATATATTATTAATATCTGTCACGCTCGTGCTCTAAAACAAAAGTTACACCTTATAATTTTGGAAAACTATCGTTCCCCCCTACCCCCACCGGAAGAATGAAATGTCAATAAGACATTTTTTAGCCCTACGACGCTTGAGCAACTACAAATTTAGCATCCTGCGCTCCCCTACTATAAAGCCGCATTCCATAACACGATAGCGGTTTTTTTTCTACTCCTAATCCCATACGGTAGTCATGCGATCGAATATCATACGGGCGACTAAAGGCATTGGATTTTACCACGGCCTGTCGGTCTGGCCTGGTCTGGAGAGCGGATCGCGGGACTGCGACCTCACGGGTAGGTAAAAGCTAGCGTTAAGTACTTACATGATCAGGTAAAGAAAAGAATACTCACAACAATGCTTTGTACCTACACTTGTAAAAGTATGTTTTAAAAAGACAATCAAAAGTACTACCGCGTACGTTAAAAAAGACAAAAACTATAGACCACATCCATCCACACATAAGAATTGAATTTAACCGAACGACGTTTCTTTTTTTCTTAATTAACGGTGAAATAAATAAACTAAGAAAATATTTAATTAGCTTTTATTTGCCTCAATCCTTTAAATTACACGTGTATGATTCGCATTCATCGATATGATGCTACCCTCATCACTACTGTTTACTATTTCGTTTGACATTTATAGCGTATAGCTATAGCTTAGCGCTAGGTGGCGCTAGGCGAAAGGCGAAATATCGCGTTCAATGTACGCGGGCGGTGAAAAGATTGAACGTAGTAATTTCTAGGTAATTAATAGTAAGTTTCTAAATTTCTTTGTACAAAATGGAAACCAAAGTAGCAATTGTTACTGGAGGCAACAGAGGGATAGGATTCGAAATAGTGAAAGGGCTGTGCCAAAAGTTTGATGGTGTTGTGTATCTTACGGCAAGAAACGAAGAAAGAGGTCTACAAGCCGTAAAAAAATTAGAAGAATTAGGCCTAAAACCGTTGTTTCACATCCTGGATGTTACATGCGAGAAAAGCATTGAAGATTTGGCTAAACATATTTCAACACACCACTCTGGCATTGATGTTTTGGTAAACAACGCTGGCATTCTAGACTTCGACAAAGCTATTTCTTCATATGATGATGCCAAGAAACTCATCGATACCAACTTTATGAGTTTATTGTCTATAACAAAAATACTCTACCCTCTACTTACAAATACTGCTCGAATAATAAACATTAGCAGTGACTGGGGCTTACTATCCAATATTTCCAAACAAGTATGGTTTGACAGGCTGGTCAAAGAGGATCTTACTGTTGAAGAAATCTTAGAGTTTGTCAATGAGTTCTTGAATGCAGCCAAAATGGGAAAATCTGCTTTTGTTTCCATAGCAGGCAATTATGGAGATTATAAAGTGTCAAAAGTGGCCATGTCTGCATTAACTTTTGTTCAGCAAAGACAATTCAGTGAACAAGGTAAAGACATTTCTATAAACTGTGTCCACCCTGGATTTGTTATGACTGATATGACCAAAGGTATGGGTAACTTTACCCCGGAACGAGGTGCAAAGGCACCGTTGTACTTGGCACTTGAAGCACCTCAGTCGCTAAAGGGTGCATTCTTATGGCATTGTAATTCTCGCGTTAATTGGGATGACTAAAGATTTAAGGCTTTTAAAATTCTTAGTGTTACAACCAAGTTACTTGTGTGATATCAGTGCGCAGTGTCACATGCACTTTAAACTAAATTGTATAATTTCTAAAAATAAACATATTTTCTTTTTTTGTTAGTTATTATTTATGATATACTTATATCTTATATTTTCTTAAATGGAGGTTGTGAATAAATTACAAAACAACTTAAATTTCCTAAAATTTTAATAATCATCAATTTTTGTAAGACTCTTATAATTTGTGAATTGATGGTGTTGTATAAACTTATTTGTTGGCAAAAAATATAAATAATTGAATAAAAGAATATGTTTTTTCTTGTTCATTATCATAATTTTTCATTGTGTCTTGTTTCCACAATCCTTTTATTGGACTATGTTAATTTACCAAGTTACCCCAAGTAACTTATCCTCTTCAGAATTATCAAAATATTTGCATTTTACTTTTCTTTGGATTTCAAGTTTTATTATATTTTATTCAATGGAGGGGCAGGAAGTATGGGGGAGCCATGCTTCGGCATGAATGGGTGGCTCGACCGGAGTGATACCACGGCGCGGCCCCTCAGAAAACCGGCGTGAAACAACCACGAGGTTGTAATTTGCCGCGTCAGTGAGGTTACCGGTGGCCCAATCCTTCTCCTTACCTAATCCCTCCCCAATCCCTAATCCCCAAAAGGTCGGCCACGCACTCGTAACTCCTAAGTTTCTGTAAGTGTCCATGGGCGGCGCTGATTGCTTACTATCAGGTAATTTGCTCGATTCCCATCCTATCACATAAAAAAAGGAGGGGCTTACAATCATGTCAACTTACTGTAAGCTTGGTATAGGGGCCCCCAGGGTACCTGTAATTCTTGCGCACGTTGCCGGCTTTTAGAAGTCGGGTTGGGGGTTGAGAATTGGGGCTACGAAATACTCAAGCGGTGTCTCACGTTCACACCAGTTTCCTGTGTGGCCGTAGTAATCTAGTGGAGCTGGCCATGTGCCGATATATGGTTCTCCCTTGTTTGATCATAAATCTTATACATATTTATCTATACTAATATTATAAAGAGGTAAAATTTGTAAGTTGGGTAGGGGGTAATCTTTGGAACCGCTGCCGCGCTGGTCAGATTGCCAAAATTCTTTCACTGATGGACAGCTACAATGTTCCTGTACATCACGCTATGATTAAATGGAGCCGAGCAGCGGGTGAAACCGCGCGAGAATAGCTATGTGTAATATATGTATATATTTAGATATATATTTGGGTAAAGCACGCTACAACCTTCCAAGGCCGCTGCAACTCCTGTAAGTCAAGATCTACAGTAGATACAACCACGAAGGCACCGAAACACTGAAGTCCGGCGCGTCCCAAGATGTCCAGTTCCCGCAACGAAATTGATCAGATCCCGCAACGAAATTGATCAGATATTAAAAAACGAAATAGTTTTCCACTTCCCTCGGTAAATTTGATGCAGAAAACAGAATGACTTAAGCCTTAAAGGAACAAGGGAGTTTTAATAAGACCTATGTTTGAGCTGCTATACTTACCTACTGGAGTCCAGTATTAAGTATGGCAATAATGCTTTAACGTAGGTTCGGAAATTTGTTCTACATTCCACGAGGTTTATATAATAAACTATATCTGATGAGACATTTAAACTATCTAACATGGTGTTGCTTTCGTAATGCCAGTGACTACACTTCCAGAGAATATGATGGGCGGACTGCTCGTACTTCAGTTCCGCTGTCGAATGAGACACCATGGTGAGTCAACATTTTTAAATGAGAATAATTTACTCTTAAATCTGCTCTTGTATGGATGGGAAAAAATTAATAAAGATTTAAAGGCAGCCCTTGATAAAACATATATTATTCCATCTATGGTGTCATTCAGTAACAAGTTCATCCTAGCCGTCGGTTAGTGGCTTAAACAATTTGGCAATTTTGTTTCGATCTCTCGATCGCGTTGTGCCAGAAAGTTTGAAGAATGGTTAGGTCTTGCATGGTAGGTAGTACAAAGCAGCACGTCGCTGCACAAGTGATTACTTGAGCAAGCCCGGGTAGGGTCTCAGTGCTAACTGGCCTGTAATTTTTCTGTAGTAGTAGTAAGGCACACGGAAAAATTAAAGCGAACTGTTGGCCTTGAAGACATTTCCGTCGTACTGAACCTATTGTCACCCTATCAGTCCAGACAGGTGCCCCGTAACACACACGTCTTAGGTAGGTAGCTTCGTAAATGATCTTGAGCGTGGGCAAACAGAAACCGCAAGTAGCTTTCGAGATTCACGTCTGTCTTTTGGCATGCACAGGTTGATGACGTGCATAGATAATTAGATACGAATTAATAATGTATTCAATAACTTTTTTTTTTTCAGTACAAGGCCGAGGCAGCAATCCGGCTCCTTTTATTTTGCGGGAACGTTGCTGAATTTAATAGACTGCTATGATTTCAGATTTGCATTAAACAATAAGCTTTTTGATAAGTTTTTGGGTTGCAAAAGTACCTATTGCATAAGGTAGTCTTAAGCGAGATTTATGAGTCCAGCCCGGGTACTTATTTACTTGTCTAACGCCCGCACTGGAAAGTGTGATGTCAATACAAGACTCGCCCATTTGGCTATATATAGTAGGTGCATCCGGGGTACAGGGGATATTTGAAGATTTTCCACCTCAAAAAACATATTAAGTAGACTAGCTTCTTCTAGCAGCTTTTCCCGCGTTCCCGAAATAAAAATACCTCTACCTGTATACATACTTAAAATAATTCTATAAGGGGGCGCACGGCGAAGGATGTAGTGCGATTAGTGATCGATACTAATGCCAAAAATGTAATATGTAATTTTTTTGTCTGTAACTTTCCATCACGCTACAATTGATTGGAGCAGAGCAGTGACATTTCCCATGTTGGGAAAACTGGAGAAATTATTCAGCTTCCGTCGCGTGTGCATCCGTAATTGTTAAAGTTACATAGAAATCATTTATCACGGGAATGTTTTATATAAAATTATCTACCAAATATCCTATAACAGTATATGTCTATCTTTTATGATTGACTCACAATAACACGTGTAACTCCTGATAGCTTATCAGTTCGGAGTAGGTATTCGGATTATATTTGTTTACTAACTTTTAAACTTTCGCGTTTCATATTTGGAACATATAATTACGCGGGTATTAATGCGGAAACAGTGAGCAGACAACCCGCCTTCATGCCGTAGGTATATCAAGGGTGCGACAGACAAGATTGGATCCGTCCTTAGAAAATTTTCGATCCCGACGGCCTACACATCTGGGGCCAAAGTTCATGACAAGGTAGGCACGGTGAAGGATGTACTGCCGCTACAAAGCCCAGGTGTTTATAAGATCAACTGCAGCTGCGGTAGTTCCTACATTGGGCAAACATATCGCCGCAGTCAAGAACCGATAGAGCAACAAATCAGCGGTAGCAGAACACCTGCTCCAGGCTGGTTCTAATCACTGGATAGAATTCCACCGACCGCAAATTCTCTCCACTGATCGCCACTACCATACAAACTTGTGCGTGAAGCGGTTGAAATAAAGAAATACCCAAATAATTTAACGACCACGACGACGACTTTAAATTGTCGTCGACGTGGAATCCAGTGATTCGGAAAACACAACCTCGCTTTTCTTCAAAGTCGGTTAATACATCTGTGGATAAGGTCAGCGTAGTGCGTACACGGCCTAATATGATAGAAAGTGAAAATAAGGGGGTAGATGATGATTCATCGCCCGAATGCAGGGGGCTGTGACATCGCATCTTCAGTCTGTTTGTGACCACGACCTGTGCAACCGGGTCGAAACGTCAAGCCTACCAAGGTATTTAAATAATTATTTTCCGCGTTAATACCCGCGTAGGTAATTATATGTTATATTTATTTACTCTTACGTTTATAATACTCTCACTTATCCCTAAATAAAAAAGTTTTTTTTTCTTTTCTTTTTCTTTTTTACAAACGTTGCCCCACATTAGGATTTTCTCCTGTGTCGTGGGTGCGGTTACAAACATACAATTTCACATGCACATGACACCCAGACCCGAAACAACAATTTGTGGATCACACAAAGTGTTGTTCCGTGCGGGAATCGAACCCGCGACACGTTGCACGGCAGCCAGTTGCCCAGCCACCGCACCAACCGTGCAGTCAAAAGTTTACAATATTATCTATTAAATAAAAAAGGTATGATAGAAATCAGTAGGTATATATGCGTGCACCGTATGAGTGCAACCTACGGGCCGTTTAGTTATTTTACCCTTTCCTTTTACAGGTGGTCCACGCTACATGCACGAACGTACCTAAAAGTAGGTATAATAACATTGATAAAATAGTGGAGAAATTCAGTATCATCACCCGGGCGAAGCCGGGGCGGAGAATAAGAGCTGCCCATGCTTCTGTATCTCCTCCTGCCAATAACAAACAACAAAAAAGAATTTGCAAACTTGGTCTAGGCGTTGCCGCATTGTTGAGTTATGCGTTTCCCAACAAATTTTGCAATTTATTTTATATGTTATACTAGCTACTCTCGCGCGGTTTCACCCGCTGCTCAGCTCCATTTGATCGTAGCATGATGTTTTATAGCCTATAGCAGGAGCATTGTAAGTAGCTATCTATCAGTGAAAGAATTTTGGCAATCCGACCAGCGGTTTTAAAGATTACCCCCTACATACAAACTTACCACTTACAGCAGGCCCGTTATGCGAGAGTTGAGATAAAAAAATCAAGAGATGTAAACAGACTATTCTAGACTGATTATTCCAGACTACACTGCAATCCGTTGAATCTGTGAAGTGGTTCGTGAAAGCGTTCAATATTTGTAAGCTAAAACGTAACTTAGGTACGCTAGTTAGCAGGAAAAACTGTAGAAATAATCCATTCCCTGGATCTAGGGATTTTGTATTCGGTAAGTCTTTTCACCTTATCTAACGTTCGATACGCGTAAGTTTGTACTTATAATAAATCTTACCGTAATCTCAATCAAATATCAACATAGTTTTTTTGAAGCCCATTAAACTTTAAATCTTGGTAATTCGAGACATAATAGTAGAACAAGTGGGTGAACGAT